GGCTGGCGCCCCGCAGTCTGCGGCGCGGCGGGCGCGAGGACCGATTGAGAAGCGAGCCCTTGGACGGGATGGGCGCCGCGCGCGGCGCGCGGCCGCGGGCGCAGAGGCGCCGGCGCGCGCGCGCGATTCTTGCCAACTGCGCGCAAACGCCCGCGTCATAGCTCGGCGCACGGCCCCCTCCGCGCGCCTGCCCGCCAACCCAGGGCGCGGCCGAGAACGGGCAGCGAGGGCGGAGAAGACGGCCCAGTAGGACACGACGCACTGCCCGCCGACAAAGATGTCCAAGAAGAAGCAGGAAACAAAGGACACACGCAGGGCAATATGGATATGGACACGCAAATTGAAGACGACGCTGTCGGCGCAGCGAGCAAACGTGCACCATGTCAGCGAGGACAGAGGATAGACCTGGCAAAGCACTCCACGTGGTATTGAATTACGTAAAATGAATGCGCGCGTTGAGGAACATCTCGGCGAAGAGCCCGGCGTGGACTCGGCGACCCAGCATGCGATTGCGCGGCCCGTCGGGAATGAGGCGGAGAGCTTCGGGAGCTCGACCCAGTGGAACGTCGGGCGCCGACCCAGCTGCGGGCGCGGACCGCAATCGGCGCGGGCCGACAGGGCGCGCCCTTGACGAGTGGGCGCCACGCCGTTGAGACGGCCAGCGAAACCTCAATGGAGGCGCTCCTCCAACAGACGGCGGCCCAGGAAGTGGCGGCGTGCTGGCAGATCGCGCGGGGCGGCGCGCGCGCAACTGAGGGGCGACGCGCAGCGCGGTAGCCCTGCCCGCGCCAGCTGGCACGCGTCTCAACTGCTCCTATTCAGGCGGTGATGCGGCAGAGTTGGTAGATTGAAGTAGAGATAGAATGGAAGAGTTACAATCAGACAGACGCGCGCGCGGGCTGAAATCGCACGCCGGCTGGCCAGGCCCGCGCAAGGTCTCTCTGCGAGCTGCATCCCGCGTGACGTAGCCAAATGTAGCCTGAGCGCGCTACGCCACAGAGCGCACTGATGCCCAGCGTGCGCTGTGGGGCGCGCGCGCGCGCGGGCGCAGCGCGTCGCGCGCGCCGGCGCCGCCGGGCGCCGGCCGTGCCCGCGCGTGCGATGCGCGACGCCTAGGAGTGCCAAGGCATAGCACACCGAGCTTGCGCAGTTGCATCGCCGGGCGCGGACAATGCCCCAGGCGCGCTGAGCAGCGCGCGAGCGCGCAAAGGTAACTTGCGCCGCGAAACCTGCACCGCCGCGCACTGGCAACGCGCGGGCGCGCCCCAGGCCAGCGAGTCCTGAGTGCAAGGGCAGTTGCCACTGCAGAGAAAAACGCGAACCCCTCTCTGCCCGAAGCTGCTGTGGCAGAGGGCGCACAGAATGCCGCGTGGCCGCGGCGCCTAGACCGAACGGCGCAGCGTAAGGCGCGGGCGCAGCTTTGCGGCCGAAGGCGCAACAAACGCGTCGGCGCGCCTGAGGCTACATAAAATTTGCATCGTGCGTCCGAACGCCAGGGCGCACCGCGTGCAGTAGAACGTGGGACAACAGGCCTTGCGTCACACCCACCCTTGACTGAGTGGCACAGCTCTGCCCTGATTGCCTGTCAGTTGGACTCACCACTTTCTAACATGTTGAGCCAGTGAACGGGCGACGCGCGTGAAGTGCGCTGAGCAAGTAGTCGTGGCCAAGGCCACGCGGTGTATAGCACGTGGACTGGGCCACTTCCCTGTTCCCCAAGGTGCGCGACAAGGCTTCCAGGCAGCACGCGGCGCGACAACAATAGGTGCCAGCGACATGCCTGGACGCCTCATCCTGGGAAACCGCTGGCGGTGGTAGCGAAGTCCCGTTCGAAGCCCGCGTCGAAGAAAAAACCGAAACAAGACGATGCACGGCAGCGCGGAATTGTTGAAATGGTCGACGGGGCGGATGAGACAAATAACCCGACAACGGTCGTGGCGTAGCCCGCATGCTGGCTGCATCTGGAAGTAATGTCTACAGACTTCGCCGGATGCGTTTGGCCGGCTGCGGTCCACAGCCGGGACAAGAACATGAATCGGCGTCATCAATTTGGTGATAATAAGCGCGCTGTCCCGGAACGCCAATATAGGGGTCCTCCACGACAAGATTCTACCACGATGTGAGCTGCGGAAGCGCCTTGGGGCTCAGGCGTGTGTAGGGACGAACACCACGTTAAAGCAGGTGGCAGCCGTGGTAGTATTGTTGCCTTCGACTGGTGCCAAGGGTGGTGAGATAGAGATAGGTACAACATTCAGTTATCCACTCGCGTGGTCCGGCGTACTCGCACAGAAAACAACCAACATGATCGCCCACATCACGAGGCACGGCGCTAACCCAAGGAAGAGCTTCGCAGTCATGCCCGGCGCGAAGCTGCGGCCAGTGCCTGTGGGGCGCGATGGGTCGGGGAACGTCGTGGCGCTCCCATGGGCGAGTCGCTCCACATCGCGGTATAGCCTGCCAGCTGCCGATGCCCTGCGCAGCTGGACTCTCGCACGTCTCACACGGTCCGGCGTTTGTCTCATCGTAGCCCGTGAGCGTCCAGGGCGAATTGCCGGCCGGCTTGCAGAACAGTCATAAGCACAAGCTGTTCGGGATCCGGAGGGTGTCGACATTGAAGAGGTGGGGTAAAGTGCAAATGTGCGTCCACATATCACCATGCGCAGCTCCGTGAACCGCGAGGATTGACCCCAATTCCGCTACCAACTAAAATCGCGGGGTGTAGTGCTGAAGCATGAGAAACATGGCGACAATGGTAGCATGAGAGACAGCAAAACGGCGGCCCTTTGTCCCTTTCACCATGATACAGAAGAAGGTAGGCCCGCTGTGGGCCAAACGGCAGCGGACCTCTCCTATCCGAGTGGAGGAGGGGGAGAAAGATGAGGAACAGGAGGAGGCGGAAGAGGAGGAGGAGGAGGAGGAGGAGGAGGAGGGAGGAGGGGGAAGGAGGAGGTGGAAGAATGAGGAGGGAGGAGGGGGAGGAGGGATGGAGGCACGAGGAAGGGATGGAAGGAGAGGGGTGCATATACAGAATTTATACGTGGTGAGGCCGTGACACTGTTGGGTTTATGGATAATGGAATGCCATCTCGTGGCAGGGGGGTCTACCAACGCACAACCAACACCAACCGACGTACGAGTAATTACGACGACGACGACGAGCAGGAGGGCGAGGTGAGCGCGGGACCACCGCGCTCTTCGCCCCGAGTCGGTGATCTTCCGAACGTGTGCCAGCGCCTGGTACGCTTGCCCACCGATGCCCTCCGATGCGACGCAGGCAACGTACTGGGGGCTGTCGGTGTCGGCCGGCTGGTCCAAGACACCGATCGATTAGCGAACCCGCTAATCGGAATTACCCACAAAAGCTGTCGATGGGGGGCGCTAGCCAGGTGCGAAAAAGGTAACGCGCACGACCATGCAGCACCAACCAGCAGAGGCGCAAGAAGAGAGAGACCGTACGATGCGGTGGCAGAGAGGAGGCCGACACAGACACAGACACAACACACAGACACAGTCACAGACACAGACGCAGACACAGACACAGACACACACACACACACACACATACACACACACACACACATTTTTTGCTTCGGCGGCTGTGCAGAAGGCGACTGCTTTGGCGGATTGGCAATTGTGGACACGCTGTAGGCAAGGGCCGCCAACACACACACACACACACCACACACACACACACACACGCACACACACGCACACACACACACACACACACACACTTTTTCTGCCGCGGCCTCGCCGGCAGCGACAATGCGTGGAAAGCCCAGAGGCTAGAGAACAGAGCGCAGCCAGGCCCTCCACACGCACACACACACAAGCACACAAACATACACACACACACACACACACACACACACACACACACACACGCGCGCGCGCACGCGCACACGCACACGCACGCGCACACGCGCACACGCACACGCACACGCACACGCACACGCACATGCACACGCACACGCGCACGCGCACGCACACGCACACACACATACTCACTCAAACACACAAACACACACATACACATGCACAAACACACACACACACACACAAATACACACACACACATACACACTTGTTGGCGTCGCGGCCACGCGCGCGGCGGCGACGCGCAGTGCAAGGCCGAATGGAAGTCTGGCGCGCTGGCCAGGTCAGTCCACGCAGCGTTTCGAGAATAACACACACACACACACGCACGCACGCACGCACCACACGCACAATGGGCAAACACACGTCTTAGGATCCTCGCCCATACAATAAGGGGCAACGATCGGGGGGGGACTGGCTCAGGGGGGGGGGGGCATCGACCTGGAACCGGCTGTACGTCGCCAATAGAACGGCGATAGGCCCCCGATGAAGAATCCGCATGTTCCTGAGCGGAGTGGGGCTGTCAGGCCCCTACTGGCGATCAATGGGCGATTGGGGGTCGATGCGTTCCCCCCTGGGCCTATCCTCCTCTATTGTTGACCACCGGCTTTCGGGCCATAACTCGGCTGTCAGGCGGCCGCTCGGGACGGTCTAGGCACCCCTGAAACGCTCTCGGTGAGGCGCAGCTGCTGTAGAGCACCCCGTGGCTGAAAACGGCCGAGGACCCACGAACACGACCGAAAACCTCGAGCCTCGAATCCGAAACGCCGCCCATGATGCCACCACTCCCTCTCGGAGGCGACGATGGGGGGCGAAGAGTCCCAGGGCGGGCATTGCACGCATTCGCCGGGGAGCCTCTCGCTGAAGACATGGACCATCGACGCCCTTGAATACATGGATTGCTCCCCCTCCTTGCTATTCGCCTCTATCGACGCCTCGGGCCCCAAGGGTGGCCCAAGGCGACCGAGCCTTGTGAGGAGGAGGAGGAGGAGGAGGCGGAGGAGGCGGGGGAAACGGGGTAGGAGGAGGAGGAGGAGGAGGCGGGGGAGGCGGAGGAGGAGGAGGAGGAGGAGGAGGAGGAGGAGGAGGAGGAGGAGGCCCCCCCTTGGGGCTCGGAGCGCCAACCTTCGTCTTCTGGACCTCCGGCTGCCGAAGAGGCCCCGCGCCCGCCCAGGGTCGACACCTCGCTACCGCCGCCGCGGCCGCTCCGACCCCGCTGGCCGCCCCTCAGCTGCCCTCGCGGCGCACGAGGGCTGGCCGGGCGTGCACGCGCGGGCCCCGCGCAGGGCGCGGCCGGCGCACGGTGTGATTGCAGTCTATTCTTGAGCATCGTTTAAGCGATCCCTAGCATCATCAGTATCATCATCATCATCATCATCATCATCATCATCATCATCATCATCATCATCATCATCAACAGCAGCAGCATCATCAGCAGCAGCATCATCATCATCAGCATCATCATCAGCGACATCAGCAGCATCAGCATCAGCATCAGCATCAGCATCAGCATCAGCATCATCATCATCATCAGCGACATCAGCAGCATCAGCATCAGCATCAGCATCAGCATCAGCATCAGCATCAGCATCAGCATCAGCATCATCATCATCATCATCATCATCATCGTCATCAGCATCATCATCACCACCGCCATCGTCGTCATCATCATCAACATCAGCATCAGCATCAGCATCAGCAGATTCATCATCATAATCATCATCATCATCACCATCATCATCAGTATTATCATCGTCGTCATCATCAGCAGCAGCATCAGCATCAGCATCATCATCATCATCAGCATCATCATAATAAGCATCAGCATCAGCATCAACATCATCATCAGCAGCAGCATCATCAGCATCATCATCCCAACCGGCGTGGCCTGGGCCCCGAGGGCCGATCTAACCCCCCTTGGGTGGGGGAACAGGCTGTTCTCTCTTCGAGCTCCGAGGGGCCTATCCCCGACCGGGGTGGTGGGATGGCGGGGCTCGGGATGGGGATGGAGGGAGATCGGTGAAACGATACTAAACTTTTACGGGAACAGACAATGGCATAAACATAAACGTCATCTTCCGGAGCTCCGCGCGGATCTCTCGGATCCGCGCTGGACCCGCACCCTGGGGCTCCAGCGCCGATCCACTAGATCCGCGTGGACCTCCGACAATTTGTGTTTATGTCATTGCTCGTTCCCTGCATTCTGGCGTGTCCTGTCAGACCGCGGACGAGGCGTTGGCGCAACGCAGGCGGATGAAGATGGAAAAGTGTACCATCTCCGGTCTCCGGTGGTGGTGCGCTTCTTCTCCGCGCCGAGTTGAGGCCGGCCACGGCGGGGGCAAGGTCACGTTAAGTCGGGCGTGTCCCACTACAGGCGGATTTTAGACGAAATATCAAAAATAGTCCAAACAATGCCCCCCAAATGCCCCAAAATACGTAACAAAAAAACGTCCCCGTCCTATATTCGTGAATATGTTTGAATATTCCTCCTGCAGAGGGACAGGCCCGACCCAGAGGTCGCGCGTGGCCGCCCCTCAGTTGCTCTCCGTGCCCGAGCTGGCCGAGAAGTGCATGTGCGACCGCCGGTGGTGGTGCTTCTTCTCCGCGCCCGTCGCCGCCGTCCACGACAGGGTACGGTCGCGGGTGACCACAGCCATGGAGCGGATGGTCGGAGGGGGGCAAGCTGAGACACGACGGCGGCTCTCCCGCCCGACCCAATTCCGCTCAGCGCTCAGGCTCGGAGCCTGGACACCTCCTGCGACGAGCAGCAAAAGTACCCCCTGGCCCTCTGGGAGGGGACCCGAGTGACGAGGGCCAAGAACATCAGGGGTGGGTGGTCTTTTTTCTCCAAATGTGCTGGTCGAGGCCACCGACATGTTCAGGGATACCCCTAAAAGCAGTGGACCTCAGTTGGGCCACGAATTCGTCTGGACCCCGTCATGACCCGTCTTTCGGAACGGATCCAGACCTGGCGTTAGGTCGGGCACGTCCCCCTACATGCGGATTTTGGGCGAATACTTAGAAGTATTCAAAAAAAACTCAAAGATGTTCACAAATACTCGAACGTCCCCAGACTATTTGTTCACCATTTTTGAATATTCCTCCTGTGGAGGGACACGCCCGATTTCAGGTTAGGGGCTGCATCTCAATGATCCTGGACCCCTCTTCGTGACCCGTCTTTCGGAACGGATCTGGATCTGGCGACGAGAAGCCTCCCAGAGGCCCAGGCAGTGACTACCTACCAGACCACCCCAACCCAACCCGAAGACCCGAATTTGACCCGAATTTCAGGTTGGGGGGGTACGGGTTCCATGTTGATGGGCCTGTTTTCCACCACCACCACCACCACCACCACCACCACCACCACCACCATAAGTTGGAGGGGGGAAGGAGGTCGAGGACGAGGAGGAGGAGGAGGAGGACGAAGAGGAGGAGGAGAGGAGGAGGACCCAACTTATGGTGGCGATGGTGGAAAACAGGCCCATCACATGTATTTTGTTCACTGTTCCCCGACTCCCCCCAGCTGGAAATGGAGGGCAAATGGAGGCCTTCGGGTTGGGCTGGGGTGGCTTGGCGGCTGGCGAGGCAGGACGGCAGCCGCAACCGGGGAGGGCCGCCGCCGCCGCCTCGACTGGGGGCCCCCTCCGCGCTGAAGCGGCAGCCCTTGCGGAAGGAGCGCACAGTGTCCTCGGTCAGCAGCGGGCAGCCCCGCAGCTCCACGGTCTGGGCGTCGTGCAGCAGCTCGGCGAGGGCGTCGGCGGCGCGGTCGGTGAGGCCATCGGCGCCGCCCAGGGAGAAGGCCGTGACGCCGCGCAGAGCCTGCGCCGCGGGGCAGCGCGGCTGCTGGCGGCGGCGGCGCGCCCTCGGCGGCTCCGGCTCCGGCGCAGGCAGCAGCGCCGGGCTCAGGGGCCCCGCCGCGGCGCCGAAGCCGAAGCCGAAGCCAGCCGAGAGGATCGCCTGGTCCAGCTCCTCCTCCGCCTCCGCCGCGTAGTCGTCGCGCTCCCTGCGGTTGCACCACCTCGGGAAGAGCCCCTCGGAGAGTCCCTCGCAGTTCCGCAGGGCCAGGGCCTGCAGAGACGTCCGCCCGCTCAGCATGGCCTCCAGCTCCGAGTCCGTCAGTCCAGCGTCCCTCGCGGAGCAGACGAGCGTGAGGTCCTGGAGCTGCGGGAACGAGGGCAGCGCGAGGGCGGCGGCCACGCGCTTGTGAGGTCGCATGGAGCAGTCCAGCCTCAGCAGGCTCAGGTGGCAGCAGTTGGCGCCGATCGCGCGCAGGCCCCGGTCGAGCAGTACGTCGTCGTCGTCGTGGCCGCCAGGCGCTGCTGCTGCCAGCGCAGCTTCGCGAGCCTTCGGGAGCGCGAGCGCCAACTGGCACAGGTCGGGGCACATGCTCGCGATGGCCTCCAGGGCGGCGCCGTGGGCGATCTCGCGCATCCCGTCGAGCATCAGGTGCCGCATCGAACCCGCGTAGGCGCCAACCAGCACCTTCAGCGACGCGGGCGGCGCCGCTGGCGGCAGCCCGCGCTCCATGCTGGCCGCTGGCCAAGCTGGCGGCAGCAGCACCTCCGTCGAGCCGGAGTCTGGGCCGCCCAGGGCTGCCGCAGCGGCGGCAGCTGTAGAGCTGAGTCCAGAGCCACTGGCTGCGCCCGCCGGCAGCGCGGTCAGGCCGCCGCCCGCCAAGCGCTGCGCCGGCGGCGGCAGTGCGAGCGACGGGGGCTCGACGGCGAAGCGGAACCAGGGCGACGTGGACGCGCAGGCGCTCTTGGCCGGCAGGGCCCGGGGCCCCGCGGGTGACGAGCGCGAGCGGAGCAGCTGCGGCGAGGCGGCGGCCGCGGGCGGCGGCAGGAGCGGGGAGGCGGCGGGAGGCAGGAGCCCCAGGCAGTCCGCGCTGAAGCCGCTGAGGCCGAGCTCCAGCGCCCCCAGGTGGTCGAGCACCAGCTCGCGCAGGGGCGGGCGCGCTTCTGCGGTGGCCAGGTGGTCCAGTGCTGCCGGCGTGGCGCGCAGGCACCAGGAGGCGTCGAGGCGCTCGAGGTGGCAGCACCTGGGCGAGAAGGAGAAACGTGCCTTGCACAGGATGACATAGCGACCTTGCGCCGCGGCTCACGCGGGCCGCCAGCGCGGCACGCCACTTTGGAAACGAGGGCGCTCACGCGCGACCTGCCGCGGGCAACTTGCTCGCCAATGTCCGCACAGACGACCCCAGTTTTCTGTGTCGCTCACCTGGCAATGGCGCGGAAGGCCTCGTCCGTGATCTGCGTGTTGCAGACGCACAGGGAGCGCAGCTTCGCACAAGACTCCGCCAGTGCAACGACGCTGCTGTCCGTCAGCTTCATCACCCAGCCAGCATCGACGACCTCCAGCTGCGCCGCGCGGCGAGTTATGCCCTCGATCGCCACGTCGGATATGAGGGTGCTCGCCACGCGGAGCTCCCTCAGTGCGGATGGCTGCTGGACCTGGAAGGACGCGTCGGTCACTTGCGTGCAGAACGACACGTCCAAGACCTCCATCCCAAAGCTCCAAAGCAGCTCCGCGGCAACCTCGTCCGTGATGCAGATCTTGCAGTATGCGACCCCGAGCGCCCTCAGACAGGGCGCGCCCTTGATCACGTATCCCATCAAACCCTCAGCCGTGATCTGTCCACACTTCCCGACCGAGAGCTCGCGGAGGCCCAGGAGGCCAGCGAGCGGGGGCTTCCACAAAGCTGGGGCAAAGGCGCTGTCGGAAATCTTGAGGCAGCCATCGAGTCGCAGCGCCTCCAGCCTCTCACAGTACTGGAGAACTTCACGAACGATTCGATTGTCTACCTGATGGCACGATCGCACGTCCAAGACCTGCAGCTGTGGGCAAGAGCGCCCGACGGTGTTCAGCACGCAGCGGCGCAGCTGAGAGGCACCCTCTAGGCCGAGCCGCTGCGTCTGGCGCGTCAGGACGTGCGGCAGCACGTTGTCGTTTAAGGCGTTCCTGGCGACGAGTATGTCGAGCAGAGCCTCCAGCGCGCGGCCTGGCAGCTTGGAAAGCCGCGCAAAGCGGACCCTCTTCGGCCCATACTTGATGAGGCTCGCGGCCAGCTTCTGGGCGCACAGCAGCAACAACGAGGGAGGCTGATTCATGGCGACCCCGCGAGAGCGGGGCGCCCTCGGTGGGCCTCAGCGTCTCGCGTGGGCGCCCGGTTGGCCCTCGCTACCCCATGCGCTACAACACCGGCGCCATGGCCGGGACAGGGGGGCGCCAACTATACACCTGCACCGATCTTATGTGGCACCTGCGCGGGACATCGTCTGTCCCGTCGCGCCCTTTTCCGCGTCGAACTCGTGTCGAATCCGTGTCGGGCCCGTGGAATCCGCGTCGGATCCGCGTCGAATCAGCTTTGAATCCAAGCCAAATCCGCGTCGAGTCCGCATCCAGCCCGCGTCGGGCACAAGAGAGGACACCAATTTGGGGACAGACGAGATCCCCCGAAGATCCACCGTAGCCGATCCATGCCAAGCCTATCCTCCAGAGGCGGGCAAACGGTGCGGATCCCGCGACGGCGTGGTGCGACACGACGCTGTGCTGCGGGGTCGGTCCGTGAGTCCGAGTGTGCCTTTTTCAAGTGCACGTCGGTCGGAAGTAGGTAAAAACATGACGTAGGACGGCGGATCAAGCAGATGGGGTCCAGGCCCTCCCAGAGAGTAACAGCACACAGCAGAAGCAGATCCATCCTTGAAGTAGGAAGGCGCCTGAAGTCGATTTTGCGAGCTGGAAATCCGCAAATACATACTTTCAACGACCGACGGGTAGGGCAACAAGGTCTATACCTATCCACTGCCCCGGGCCTGGCCCTCCTGGGCCCATGAGCTGCGTATGTGCCTCCCCGGCCATGCCAGGGGGGCGTATACACCGCCGCTGGGCCCAAGATGGGCCAGGTATGGGGCAGTGGATATGGATAAATACATATTGTCGCCCGATCGAAAAGAACCACTCTTCGCAGCCATCGCCGGCATCGGATGTGGCCCGCCGCGGAGACCATAGACCGTAGAGAACGAACGAACGAGCGGACAGCCCACAAAGGGGCGACCGGCGTGCGTGAGCACCGTGGCCTTTCGGAAAGGACCAAACAACTACATAGTAAACTTGTTTTTATTCGGCGTTTCGACAGTGGGTGGAACGGGGGCAGAGGGGTGGACCTCTGCATAGTGCGGCTGTTTGGGACAGTGCGTCCATTATGGGGGAGGCTCCACCTGCTCGAAACAGGCAGCCCCAAAACAGCCAAGATCTATTACTCTAAAGGGGGAGGGATGGGGGGCCAGGACCCGCGCCGATCGGCACAACAATGAATAAACGAAAACTATCGCATAAGCATCAATTGTCGGAGCCCCGCGCGGATTTCTTGGAACGGTGCTGGGCCCCCCGCTGGGAGAGGCTCCACCTCCTCGGAACAGGCGCAAAAAACAGCCAAGATCTACTCCGTGGGGGGAGGGGGTGTCCGAGGGCCCGCGCCGATCGGCAAAACCACGAATACAGAAACGATCACCATTAATTGTCGGAGCCCCGCGCGGATTTCTTGGAACGGCGCTGGGCCCCCCCTGGTCGAGCCTCCAGCGCCGCCCCTTGCGACGCTCCGCACGCCAGGGAAGGGGACCCAGAGCGCCGGCCCAAGAGATCCACGCGGAGCTCGGAAAAGTTCATGCCTGTGCTGCCGTCCAGGACTCAGGGCCCGCCATCCCTCCTCCACATCCTCCTCCGCCTCCTCCTCCTCGTTCCTCCTCCTCCTCCTCGTTCCTCCTCCTCCTCCTCCTCCTCCTCCTCCTCCTCCTCCTCCTCCTCCTCCTCCTCCCTCCCGTCTCCTCCTCCTCCTCCTCCTACTCCTCTCTTCGATCCTCCTCCTCATCCTCCTTGTTCCTCCTCCTCCTCCCTCTCCGCCTCCCTCTTTCGCCACGTCGACTGGCCACACCGTTCGCCCGGCCTTGGATCCCCGGGTGCGCCAGGGCCAGAAGAGAGGGATTCTAGGGGCTATCATGGGCCCGCGGCACGTGCAATGACGTTTGGGGGGCGCCAGGAGACGCACGGAAGGAAAAGGAGGGGGAGGGGGATCATCCCCCCTCCTCCTCCTCCTCTCTCCTCCTCCTCTCCTCCTCCTCCTCCTCCTCCTCTCCTCCTCCTCCTGCTCCTGTTCCTCCTCCTCCTCCTCCGCCTCCGCCTCCGCCTCCTCCTCCTCTCCTCCTCCTCCTCCTCCTCCTCCTCCTCCTCCTCTCTCCTCTCCGCCTCCGCCTCGCCTTCTCCCCTCCGCTCCCGCCTCCTCCTCCGCCTCCTCCTCCTCCACCTCCTCCTCCTCCTTATCCTCCTCCTCTCCCTCCTCTCCCTCCTCTCCCTGCTCTCACTCCTCTCCCTCCTCCGCCTCCTCTTTTGCCCCGCTCCCCCCCCCCCCCCACCCCCATCCCAGCCATCACTCCCCTATTGGACGCCCGCCTCGAGATCCTCGCCCTGGGATCGGCCTGGCCGGGACCCGGATCTCGGAGAAGGGCGAGCTGAGAAGCGAACGCCGGAGTGGTGCGCGCTCAGTTGGGGAGCCCGCCCGTGACCATCAGGGCATGGCGTGGAAGCTCTGGTCTCAGAAATGTGATCTGTAGGCGGACTCACGTCGCAACCATCAGTCAGTAAACGAGCGCGTTCCACTACTCGCAGAGTAACTGTTCGCAAATGGCCCGGATCCGCCGCGGGGAATCCACGATCCGGTGCATCGAGGCAAACGAGGAGGACAAGGAGGAGGAGGAGGACAAGGAGGACAAGGAAGACAAGGAGGAGGAGGAAGAGGAGGAGGACCAGGAAGAGGAGGAGGAGGAGGAGGAGGAGGACAAGGATGAGGATGAGGATGAGGAGGAGGAGGAGGAGGAGGAGGAGGAGCACATGAAGGAGGAGGAGGGGGAGGAGGACAAGGAGGACAAGGAGGACAAGGAGGAAGAAAAGGAGAAGGAGGAGGAGGAGGACAAGGAGGAAGAGGAGGAGAACCAGAGGACCAGGAGGACAAGGAGGAGGGCAATGAGGAGGACAAGGAGGAGGAGGAAGAAGAAAAGGACAAGGAGGAGGAGGACGAGTAGGACAAGGGGAACAAGGAGGGCAATGAGGACAAGGAGGGCAAGGAGGACGAAGACGAGGAGGAGGAGGAAGAGGAGTACCTTCCGGACGCTTGCGCGAGGGCACTCTGCGAACAATGGACCGCGCTCACTGACGCCTCTGACATTGGTGCCCGCGTGCGCTTGGCGCCCTCCCGTGGGAGGCCTCGCCGGCCTGCGGCGGCGGGCCTGGGCGTGCGCTATCTGCCCATGCGGCGGGCCGCGGCCGCTGCGGGCACCGCCGCTGCGAGCACGCGCGTGCCGCGGGCGCCCCGCCCTGCGCGCTCGCTCGGGCCCAGGGGGCGGCCTGAGCCGGCATGCCAGCGGGCGCCGCGCAAGCGCGCTCGGCCACGCGCACACGACAAGGTCGGTCAGCATCGAGTCCGGAGACCGGATCGTCATCGTCGTAACCATCGCCATCGTCGTCATCATCGCCATCAGCATCAGCATCATCCGCATCGTCATCACCATCATCATCATCATCACCAGCATCAGCATCATCATCATCATCATCATCGTCATCCTCGTCATCAGCAGCATCCACACCGACAGCATCGTCATCCTCATCAACATCATTAGCATCACCATCATTATCAACATTATCATCATCGTCATCATCACCCTCGTCAGCAGCAGTAGCGTCATCATCATAAGCACCATCAGCACCATCATCATTATCATCAACACAACCATAACCAGAGTCACTGTCGCAATCGCAACCAGAATCGCGATCACCATCAGCATCACCACCACCACCATCACAACCACCATCATCGAAAATCTGCAATATCCTTATCATCGCTATGCTACCTCAGCCTCGCTGGCCCTCCTCTGATCATGTTCCGATTGCGACTTTCATCCTGCTATTCCCTATCCGCCTCGGGTCATCGCGCCCTCCTCATCCTTCTCTTCGTCCTCCTCTCCTTAGGCGTGCAAAATCAGAGCCATAATTTACTCATTGTTGTGTGCGTGTGTGGTTTTTGTGTTTCTTCGTGTTTTTCTTTATGTTCCGTCCCACCAGCCCTTTGGGCGTGAGTGGTTTAGGGAGCTCTCTCTGTTCTCAACCCCCCTTCTTCCCCTTCGGGGAGGGGTTTACCCCTCCCCCTACCCCCTCCCCCTGGACCTGGAGAGGGGGTTTCGCGGGTGGTTGGGGGGGTCTTTTTCGACTCCTGGGAGGGCTAAAAAACGACGACCCTCACGAGGATTCTGGCCCCGACGGGAGGGCGGAGAAAAAACCCTCTCCTCTTCTTTGAAGCCAAAATCATTGATTTTACTGCGGTTTTGGCCCCATTTTGGCCTCCTGAAAGGGGGCCGCGCTCATCTTCCTTCATAGCAAAATCATTGATTTTACAACGGTTTTGGGCTCATGTTGTCCTTCTCAGGGGGCAGCGCTCACTTGCGCTTCTGCGGAGGTCGCAAGAGGCCCCAAGATGGCCCCAAGAGGCCCCCAGGAGCCTCCCAAGAGGCCTCCAAGAGGCCCCCAAGAGGCCCCCAAGAGGCCCCAAGAGGCCCCCAAGAGGCCCCCAAGAGGCCCCCAAGAGGCCCCAAGAGGCCCCAAGAGGCCCAAGAGGCCCCAAGAGGCCCCCAAGAGGCCCCCAGAGGCCCCCAAGAGGCTCAAGAGGCTCCAAGAGGCCCCCACGAAGAGCCCGAACGACTCACACCACAAGGAGGGGCCCGAACGACTCACACCAGGACGAGGCGCCCGAACGACTCACACCACGAGGAGCCCGAACGACTCACACCACGACGCGGGCCCCGAACGACTCACACCACGAGGAGCCCGAACGAGTCACACCAGGAGGAGGGGCCCGAACGACTCACACCAGGATGAGGGGCCCGAACAACTCACACCACGAGAAGCCCGAACGACTCACACCAGGACGAAGAGCCCGAACGACTCACACCACGAAGAGCCCGAACGACTCACACCAGGAAGAAGGGCCCGAACGACTCACACCAGGACGAGAAACCCCAAACGACTCAAATCACGAGGAGCGCTTTCTCTCCCTCCTCCTCCGCCTCGTCCTTCTCCCGCTCCCCCCACAAGGAGGATGTACAAGGAGGCGGGAGGAAGGAGGAACAGGGGAGATATGCGGGGCCAAGCGGACACACGCCTGAAAAACACGACTGTCGGCATGCTTCGCAAGAGTTGTTGCTGTGAGATGGGCTGGTGGGGATACGCGAAGCGTAAAGAATTTACTCATTGCTGTGTGCGTGTGTGGTTTTTGTGTTTCTTCGTGTTTTTGTTTATGTTCCGTCCGGTATTTTGTTGGTTTTGACTTGTTGTGTGTGTGCGTGTGTGCGTGTGCGTGTGTGTTTGTGTTTGTGTTTTTGTTGTGTGTTGTGTTGTGATGTTTTGTATTTTTAGGGGGGTCGATCGCGGTCGATCGCCCGGGGGGGTTCGACTGCCGCCCCGGCGCGGATCGCCCCCGCCAAAGTTCCCTCAAAAGGGGGAGCTTAAGCGGAGTTTTTCCTCGTAGGCGGCCCCGCTCGCCTGGGAGGGTGCGGGGGGTCCTGGATCGCCCGGGGGGGCCCCAGGACGGGCCGACTCGCCCGGGGAGGGGTCGGTCCGAGCGGCGGAGTCGCCCGGGGAGGTCTCCGCCGCTCAGTTCCTGCACGAGTCGCCCGGGGCGGTCTCGCGCGGGAACAGCCCTCGCGAATCGCCCAGAAGGGGGTTTCACGGGGGCGAAGTAGCCCGGGGGGCGTCTCAGAGGACAGCGCACGGCGCGAAGGATTCACGCGAATCTTTCGCGGGACTCTCGCGAATTTTTCGCGGGGGGGCCGGGCTCTCGCGAATTTTTCGCGGGGGGCGCAACGGTCTGGAAAGTCGCGCAGGAGGGGGGGGCGAAGAAGAGAGGGGAGGTCCGATGCCACAGCCTCGAGGGCCACCTCCGGGGCCAAGCGAATGACGGACAATTGGAGCAGGGAGCGGCGAAGGATAGAGAAGGAGGGCGAAGGATAAGAGCCAGAGGGGAGCGCGAGCGGCGCACCGAGGAGCAGAAGCGGAGAGAAAGGGAGTTCCCCGGTTGATCACACCAAGAAGAGGGCGAGGTTGATGACTAAATGAAGGCTCTGACTTTACACGCACAACTCTCCCCCTTCTCCTCGTCCTTCTCCAGACGGGTCCAACCGAACTGCGCCGCTGAGCTATGGCTAGGGTTACGATAAGCATAGAAGGCCCGGCCGGCGGGCGCGCGGGCGCGCGGCGGGCCTGGCGGTCTTTTCCTCGCGACCGAAGCCGAGACAGCTTCGGTTAGTGATCGATGTCCGGCGGCGGCGGGACAGCGATGCCGAGGCAACGCAGGGGGCGTGACTGAATCCATTTTTTCGTCCTCCTCCCCCCTCTCCTCGTCCTTCTCAAGACGGGTCCAACACCGACCTGCGACAAGGGGCCGGCACACTCCTCCGCCCGACCCTCCTCTCCGGCGAGACCCCCTTGATTTCCGCCCGGCCCAGACTGCGCCACGCGGGGGCCGCCAGAGGGGCACCAACTGAGGAGGTAAAGAATCCGTCGCAGCCCCCCCCCCTCCCTTCCAACCTCGGCCTCCACATCCCCATGCACTTTCCACATCATCGCCCTCCCCCTCCTGCTGCTGCCCACTGAAAAAATAGTCAAAATTAGTCCGAAATCGTCCCCTGACTATTTTTGGACTATTTTTGAATATTCCCCCTGTAGAGGGACAGGCCCGACTTAGAGCTAGAGGGGCACCAACTGAGGTAAAGAATTAGTCGCAGACTCTTGGGAATACAAGTCCCATGGAGAACGTAACGTGTTTACTTCGTGTCCCACTCCACTTCCATCGATGGCACAACACCCGACATCACAAGGCGCGGGGACACTGAGAAAGAGGAAGTGAGAGAGTGAGTGAGAGAGTGAGGAATTTGAGAGAGAAAGAGAGTGTGAAAGAGAGAGAGAGAGAGAGACAGACAGACAGACAGACAGACAGATAGACAGACAGACAGACAGACGGACGGACGGACGGACGGACGGACGGGCAGACAGACAGACAGACAAACAGAGAGAGAGAGAGAGAAAGAGCCTAGAGCGGGCGGCATTTTACTCGACGAGGCGGGTGCAAACACGACCTCTCCGATTGAAAAACGGGTGAGTGAATCCGGCCGGCCCCAGCCGCAGAGGCGGTGAGAGATTCACCTACACGGGGCGGGAGGGAAAAGAGGAGAGGTCCGCCTACCCCCACCTGCCGGGCGGTGCAGCAGCTTGCGAGAGCTGGCTGCCCCCTTTCCCCCTTTCCCCTCTACCAGGGCCCTGCTGTGGAAGCCCATGCCAAGAAACACCCTGCTTGCCTCCAGGGTGCCCTGGGTTTCCTGGATTTCGATGGTCTTGCGATGGAGAGCGCGACGCTCCCACACCAAAAATCAGACGCCCTGGGGTCTCAGGGTTGGGCTTCTTGTGGAAGCTTTCCTGTGGTCGAGCTCCTACTGTAACTCTGCTTTTCTTGAGGGGGGGAGGGGGGAAGGGATGGGGGTGGGGGGTAGGAACTTCCCCGCGCACCTCGGGGCAGGAACTTCCCCGCGCACCTTCGGGGTCCACCACCCGCGCGCCTCCGCGGCCCCAGTGCGCCTTCCAAGACTGCCCACGCAGGGAGCCAGCACGCCTGGACGGCCTCGAGAGAACACCCGAGGTGGTCCCCGCGCGGCCCCCGAGGCCCCCAAGAGGGCCCCAAGGGAACACCCAAGAGGGCCCCACGAGGCAAAAGCCATTGATTATCATGTGGTTTCGGATGTGTCCGCGCTCTCGCCCTGCTGGGCGCCTGCAAGCCCCAGGCGGCCCGCGAGGCCCCACCACGGCCCAAGAAGTCCCCAAGAGGGCCCAGGGACAGCCCAAGAGGGCCCCACGTTGGCCCAATGGGTCCCCAAGACGACCAGCAATGCCCTCAATGGGGGCTCAAAGATGGCCCAAGAGAAGCCCACGACAGGGAACTCGAAGTGACCCTCCACACACACACACACACACACACACACACACACACACACACACACACACACACACACACACACACACGCGCACACACACACACACACGCACACGCACACGCACACGCACACGCACACGCACACGCACACGCACACACACACACACACACTCTTGAAGTCAGCGGCGCAGAGGGTCTTCAAGCGCGAGCAGCAGATGAAGTGCGAATTGCGGTCGAGCGCTGTCGAAAGCGTAGCGCACGAAGCGTCGCACACTGCAAACGCACCCCCTCGCTCCCCACATACACACACATACACATACACACATACACATATACACAAACAAACACAAACACACACACACACTAAAGGCAGCCCCAAGACATCCAACATGGTCCCAAGAGGCCCTGAAAAAAGGGGCCCCCACATCCCCCAGGACCCATAACAAAGGCTCCAAGAGGCCGCCCCCATGTCTCCAAGAGGCCCCTTGGAAGCCTCGCAATAGAGGTGGAGAAAGGGGGCAAGTCACCAACAATTACATGCAAACAACACAACAGAAATTGCGACGGCAACAACATGTACGACATCGGAAGCCGCACGTTTTCTTCTGTCGGTCCTCGGAATGGCGTCAACCTCTTGGATCATTGGGGGGCAAACCTCTTGCATCATGGGGAAGATCGGATCGGAACGGGCTCGCGGTGTTGTGAGTCTCCGCACGGGCACAACTGCATGGCGGGGCAGGGGAACGTGAGGTTGAGGACGAGGTAGGAGGAGGAGGAGGAGGAGGAGGAGGAGGAGGAGGTAGCAGGAGAGGGAGGGGGAAAGCAAGAAGCAAGGAAGAGGAGGAATCGGAAGAAGGATGAGAGAGGAGGAAGAGGAGGAGGAGGAGGAGGAGAGGAGGAGGAGGAGGAGGAGGGAGAAGAGGAAGGGGAGGAGCAGGAGGAGGAGGAGGCGGCGGCGGCGGGGGAGGAGGAGGGAAAGGAGAAGGAGGAGGAGGAGGAGGAGGGAGGAGGAGGAGGAGGAGGAGGGAGGAGGAGGAGAGGAGGAGGAGGGAGGAGGGCGGCGGGGGAGGAGGAGGAGGAGGAAGAGGAGGAGGAGGAGGAGGAGGAGGGGGGGAGGAAGGATTCTGCTGGATTCTGCTGCCTTGCCCACGCACGTGGCCGAACTGCCATCAATCAGTCCCCGCTGCTGTCAGCATACGTGCACACAACCTGCTGCTGCTGTTGCCGCCGCTGCCGCAGCGCGAGGGGGGTAGGCGGGCAGGGAGGACGGAGGGCAGGAGGGGGAGGGAGGGAGGGAGGGAGGAGCGAGGGCGATGGATGAGCCAGGTGCGCGCGCACCATACCAGACATCCGACTCCTGACACTGCGTGGCATTGCTTCTCATTGTGCGGCACTGCTTGGCGTTGCGTGGCAATGCTTTGCATTGCTTGGCATTGGTTGGCATTGTTTGGCATTGTTTGGCATGCGTGGCGAGGCAGCAAAGAACGAGTACCAAGGAACCAGGGAAGCCAAAAACCAAGAAACCAGGGAACCATGGAACCAAGGAGCCCAGGAACCAAGGAACCCAGGATTCAAGGGAGCCAAGGAATCAAGACCACGGAACCTAGAAACCCAGACCAGGGAGCCAGAGGAAGGCAGCCAGGAAACAAGACCAGGGAACCCTGCGGAACGCTGGCCGGCGCCGGCCCAGCACCCACCGGCTCTTGGGCCCCGCTCGGACAGGATCAGGGGAGAGAGGAGAGCAGTGTTCAGGTTGAGCAGTTGCGAACAGGGGCAGCAGGGGGGGGAGAGGGGGGAGGGGAGGGAGGGAGGGAAGAGGGAAGTGGGAAGAGGAAGGGGAAGGAGAGAGGGGGGAGGGGGCGGCGAGAGGGGAGGAGTCGGAGGGAGGGAGGGGGGAGAAGGGAGGGAGGGAAGGCGGGATGAGGGAGCAGGAGGAAGGAGAGAACCAAGATGGGGGCACATTCCAAGAGATCTGGCAAGCAGACCAGCAGCGTGGTCACGGGACTCATCTCAGCTGCACAGGTTGCCAAGAGTTAGATGTGCTGGTTGAGGGCGCCGTCGACTACACGTCACAGGGTGTAAGCGGTACGTTGACAACATCATTGCGCTTCCCGTTGGCAGCTCCAGGAACTGCTGGACACCATCATCATCACCACCGAAGCAGGCGAGCGTTACGATATTGCTGCTGCCTCTCTCGACGATGGCAAGGTGCAGTACGCGGTGAGGAACGCTTGCTGACCGTGTCGCGGCGGTGGCCCCTGCACCACGCTGTGCCTTGCAAACCGAACACGGGTTGCTCTGCGTCGTGGGACGAGGGAGGCCCAGCGCCGACCCAAGAAGCCCGCGCGGACCTTGGAAATTGTGCGTGGGCGCTTCTGTGCCAATGCTTGTGCTTCGACGACAGGCTCTGGGGGCAGGAGGGAGAGGGGAGGAGGAAGGAGGAGGCTGGGCGGGCGAGAGGAAGTGTGGATTGCAGTGTATTGTCAGATGCTCTGGGGGTGAAGGAGGCAAGGTGCCACCGCCAGCCCGTGCCCTTTCGCTCGCCGCCGCCGCTTGCCCCAGGCCCATCGTAAAGGCTCATCAGGGAGGCTCGCGCCGGGGGCCCGAGGGAGCAGAAGGAGATAGCCGTAGGGACGGGATCGGTCAAGAGACGGTCGAGCACCGGGGACGTGCTCAAGGTTCAGTGGTCGCAGGAGGAGGGGGAGGGGGAGGAGGGAGAAGGGAGCAGGAAGGCGAAGAGGGAGGCGGGAGGAGAAGGGGCAGGAGGGAGGCGGGGGCGGAGAAGGAGGACGAGGAGAAGCGAGGGATGACGGAGAGGAGGAGGAGGGGGAGGAGAAGGAGGAGGAGGAGGAGGAGGAGGAGGAGGAGGAGGAGGAGGGCTGCATTCGTGTTCGGCCCATGATTATGGTCTCCAGCGGCCGTGCTGGACAGTCCGGGCACCCCGGGAACGCTCTCGGCGAGGCGCGGCTGCTGGCGAGGATCCCGAGGCTGGAAAACCGCCGAGATCCGACGAGAGCGCCCCAAAACCTCGAGCCTCGAGCCGATCCCCCCCCCCACCTCGGACCCTGATCAAAAGTCAAGAATCGAGCCCTGGACCTCTCCTCGGGAGGGGTCAGTGGCGAGCCCGTAGGCGACGTGAGAGGGGGCAGGCCTTCTCAGAAGGCGGCGGGGCTTCTCAGAAGCCCCCCAGTCTTCGGAGAAGCCGTCTCTGTCTTCGGAGAAGGCCCAGAAAGCTGCTCAGAAGGCCAGAGGGCTTCTGAGAAGCCCCGACGCCTTCTCAGAAGGCTTGCCCCCTCTTGCGTCCCCCTTGGGCTCGCCGCCGAAGAATGGATCCTAGGACCTCTCCTCGGAGGGAAGATCGAGGCCTCCCATGGGGGTTCCGAGCAGATGGGGTGGGAGGATCGCGCCGCATCGCCGGTGTATCGCCGATGCAGCATCGGCATCGACACCGTCGCGTGGCGAAAATCGGGCTCCACATCGAGCAGCATCGCCGATGCATCGGCGATGCGGCGCGATCCTCCGACCCAGTCTGCTCGGACCCCATCTGGGAGGCCCAGAGAAGAAGGAACAGCCCGCAGGGAGCGCTCACTCCTCGGGCGCCAGGCCGATCTTGGAGTTCCCCCCGCCCACGCCCTCGCCGATGCGGGCGCCCTGGCGGAAGGCCACGCGCCAGACGTTGAAGAGGGCCCACGAGGCGGCCAAGAGCGGCAGCGCCTGCGGAAAGGAGGAAGATCAAGGAGGACCCAGTAGGATCCACTAGGATCCAGGATGAGGATGCAGAAGGAGGATGCAGGAGGAGGATGCAGGAGGAGGATGCAGGAGCAGGAGGAGGAGGAGATCGAAGCGGCAGCGCCAGCACGGCGATGATGCGTACGTCGAAGCCGTCGTCGTCCTCGGAGGCGATCGCCAGCGCCGGCGCGGGCACGGCGGAGGCGGCCGCCAGCGCCGCCGCGTACGCAGCGCTGCTCACCTCGACGACGGACGACGACGACGACGACGACGACGACGACGACGACGACGACGACGACGACGACGACGGACGACGACGACGACGACGACGACGACGACGACGACGACGACGACGACGACGACGACGACGACGACGAGGACGACGACGACGACGGCAACGGCAACGACGACGACGACGACGTCGGCGGCGACGGCGGGGCGGCGGCGGCAGAGGCGGAGGCGGAGGCGGCAGTGGCAGGCGCGGCAGAGGCAGCGGCGGCCGTCAGCGCACGCGGCGGCGCTCGGGCGCCCGCGGCGGCGCTCGGGCGGCGGCGGCGGCGGCTCGCGGCGCCGCTCGCCTCGAGGGTCTGGCGGGGCGCCGCCGCCGGGGAGGGGACGAAGGACGTCGGCCGGCACGCGGCGAGGGCCAGGGCGGCCAGCGCCAGGGCGGGGAGGGCCGAGCGGGAGCGCATGGCGGCCATCCTGCAGAGGGCGTGCGACAGCGGAGGGCGGCGTGAGCTCGATCAAAAACCTCGAGCCAAAACGGCTCTGGAGCGAGCGAGCGGAGGAGGGGGGGAGGAGGCTCGGGGGCGGGAGAGGAGGAGGCTGGGAGGAGAGGCGCGCGATGAGAAGGAGGAAGAGGGAAAGGAGGAGGAGGACGACGACGACGAAATGGAGGGAGGGAGGGAGGGAGCGAGGGATGATGATGATGATGATGATGATGATGATGATGATGATGATGATGATGATGATGATGATGATGATGATGATGATGATGATGATGATGATGATTATGATGATGATGAGGAGAGGAGGAGGAGGAGGAGGAGGAGGAGGAGGAGGAGAGGCGCGCGATGACAAGGAGGAGAGGAAAAGGAGGAGGAGGATGACGACGACGACGACGAAATGGAGGGAGGGAGCGAGGGAGGCAGGGAGGGAGCGAGGGATGATGATGATGATGATGATGATGATGATGATGATGATGATGATGATGATGACGAGGAGGAGGAGGAGGAGAGGAGGAGGAGGAGGAGAAGGAGGAGGAGGAGGAGGAGAGGAGGGGAGAGGAGAATGAGGAGGACGACGACGGCGAGAAGGAGGGAGGGAGGATGGAGGGAGGGAGCGAGCGAGGGAGCGAGGGACGGAGGGACGGAGGGGGGAGGAGGAGGAGGAGGAGGAGGAGGAGGAGGAGGAGGAGACGGAGGGAGGTGGAAGAGGAGGAGGAGGAGGAGCAGAAGGAGGAGGATGAGAAGGATGATGATGATGCTGATGCTAATGCTGATGCTGATGCTGATGATGAAGATGAAGATGAAGATGAAGATGAAGATGAAGATGAAGATGAAGATGAAGATGAAGATGAAGATGAAGATGAAGATGAAGATGAAGATGAAGATGAAGATGATGATGATGATGATGATGATGATGATGATGATGATGATGGTGATGATGATTATGATGATGATGATGATCATGACGACGACGATGATGATGACGATGACGATGACGATGGCGATGGCGATGGCGATGACGATGATGTTGCTGCTGATGATGATGTTGCTGATGATGATGGTGCTGATGCTGATGCTGATGCTGATGCTGATGTTGATGCTGCTGCTGCTGCTGCTGATGATGATGATGATGATGATGATGGTGGCAAGCATGCTGATCATGCTGATCCTGATTATGATAATGATGATGGTGCTGATGGTGATGCGTGATGCTGATGATGCTGATCATGATGATGAGTAGGAGGAGGAGATTGAGGAGGAGGAGGAAGAAGAGGAGGAGGAAGAGGAGGACGAGGAGGAGGAAGAGGAAGAGGAATATAAGGAAGACGAGGAAGAGGAGGAGGAAGAGGAGGATGAGGAGCAGGAAAAACGGCGGGGGGGCGACCCACCTGTCGATGCGCTGCCCGCTCGCAGGCATTCTGTAGGACGCGCGAAGGGGCTGCGCAGGGTGCGAGAGAAAGAGAGCGAGAGAGAGAGAGAGAGAAAGAGAGAGAGAGAGAGAACAAACAAAAAACAAAGACGGATGGCGTGCGCGAGGTTTCCACCTGAGACGCTTCATGAATCCCTCCCTCCCCTCCCTCCCTCCATTCCTCCCTCCCTCCCTCCCACCCTCACCTCTCATCTCTCGCTTCACTGCCTTCCCTCCCGTCTCATTCCCTCCCCTTCGCTCCTCCCCTCCCCACCTCCCCCCGCCTTCCCTGAACTTCGCTCCCCTTCTATCCTCTTCACTCCCCTCCCCTTCCCTCCCTTTTACTCCCCCCCGCTCCCATCCGCATCCCTCCCCTTCAATCTCCATCTCCTCCTCTCCCCGTCGCCCCCTAAACCTTTCCCAATCCATCCGCCCCAGAAGGGTGGGAGGGGGGGACGGTGAGCTTGGAAGGCGAGGGGACTGGGGCGAAAGAGGGAGGGGGGAAAGCGGCAGGAGAGGGAGGGGAGGAAGCAGCATGACGAAGACGATGCCGAGACCGAGGCCGAGGAGGGGCGGCGCCTACGAGGACAGGAAGGTGAATGCGCAGGCGAAGGAAGTTCGGGAGTGTGGGGGGGGGGGGCGGGCAGGGAGAGGGGGGGGGGAGTTGGAGAAGGGTGGGCTGGAGGGGGAGGGAAGTGGGCAGAGCAGAGCAGAGAGCAGAGCAGAGCGCGCCTGTGCCCGCCGGCGGCGGGGCGCCGAAGGCAGGCGCGGGCGGGAGAGTCCTCCGTCGCAGAGGTGGAAGACGTGATGCATGCCGCGTGGTGTTCGAACGTGTACTGCTCCACTGCGTGATGCCGTGTGCAGGTTGCAGGCCAGCGTCCACTGTTTGGTTGGAGAGGCCCGCCTGCTGCCAGAGATTCCGTGATATCGTCTCTCAACCGCTTTCTCCGACCCCAAGGCCTGCGGAGAGCTTGTCGGTGGTCGTGGATGTCCAGCTCCCACGTTGCAGCAAGTCGGCGCGCATCTGTTGCACGGTTGATTGGCGATTCGCCCCGCCCGCCGCCATGTCGATTCGTCCTGCCCAGATGTCGGTGGTCGCGATGAGTCGGAGCATCCGTCGTTGAGTGCGCCTCAGCGATTGGAGCATGTCCTTGGTCAACGCCCAGGACACGCAGCTGCGCCTGACACAATTGGCGACAATGTTCCGTTTAACAGACGGAATATTCTCAATAGTGGGTACCGCTTGCTCCGCTTATTAGTGAGCCCGCCACAGGAGTTGACTATGCGGTATCCAAGCGCGTGTATGTTGGTGAGTTCCGTCTGATGGTAGTCGTCATCGTGAAGCGTGAGCTTCCAGCCAATGTATTTACTAGTCTGGTCTCGCTGAGAATTCAAATGTTGTCGCCGTCGGCTCTGGTGCGTGCAATGGTCCGCCTCTGTTGTCGGGCGACGCTGGTAAAACATTTGCTGCTGTCGGGATATAGCGCAACCCGCACTTTGCAGCTTCTCGCTTGATACCTTGGCGAACCACATAAAATTGTCGTAAGGTCAGTGCGAGGAGAAACACGTCGTCGGCAAATCGTGAATACGCGAGTTCCGGAAACCCGGCACGCCCCAACGTGATTTCAAATCCTTTGCGTTTCCAGGAAGGCAGGATCTGCTAGAAAGCACTCTTGAGCATTGCGTTGACCATGTGAGAGCTGCGTGGGTCACCGCGTTCGACCCCGCGTGGCGTGCTGGATCGTCTGCTGTTGACGTCGGCCCCCGCTGTGGCGGTCTGGTCGTAGTATAAGGTCCTGCAGAAAGGAGGCGCACGAGTCTGGCACGTGCTGCTGTCGAAGTGCTTCCCAGAGGTGTTGGTGGCCAGCGCGGCTGGACGCCTTCTCTGAGTCAATTGCGGCGGTCCACAGAGGGAGTTGCCATTCATAAAAAGCACTTCGTGCAATCAGGTCGCCGTGAAGAGGTGGTCTTCTGTGCAGAACCTCGTGCGACAATCACCCTGGTCAGTGATTGCTCAGACTCGAAGGTCGCATCAAGTCGGTAGCATAGCAATCGAGACATCAGTTTGTATAGTTGTGGGATGATGGCTATTGGTCGGTAGTTTTGCGGTACTTGTCGGTCGCCTGAGTTGTAAATCACACTGATTGTGGTGCGTCTCCACTGCTCAGGGGGCTCTTGTCTACTTGGTAGAATGCCGCTGCAAAGCCCCAACAAGCGTAGCTCGATGAAGTGTCCTCCGCTCCGGCCTGCAGCAGCCCTGCGGCGAGGCCAGCAGTGTCTCTGCATTTGCCGCTTTGGAGTTGCATCGCTGCGTGGTGCATTTGTCATTTGGTGATATGTGGAATCCCATGGCGGGCATGATGTTGTGCATGGTCACGCGCCTCGGACAACTGAGCGTCTGCAGGTTCGTTGGTTTCCGTGCGACCCAGGTACAGCTCTTTGAAAATTCGTCGAAAATGTCTAAAATGCCTTGGCGGTCCGTCTCGCTGTCAGCCTCTTTCGTGGCAGTGACCAACATCAACATCGTGGCTCATTTCGGACTTTATGCCAGCTGTTCTCGAGGTCTCGGAAGCTACGTCTCATATCATCCAACTCTGCGCGCAGATGAACTCGCTGGACGACCCTGCGTTGTCGCATGATGCGTTTGCTAGGGGATTTTCTGGCGGATGCGTCAAACTGTGGCGCGTTCCTGCGCTGCTTCAAGAGTGCTCTTGGGACACGAGCGGCTTCGTCGTCGTCTTCGTCGCTGTGGTGTGTCCGCTGGCTCTTGTGTTGCTGCTGTTCCTCGAATTGTTTTGTGTGTTGCTGTTATCGCATGCTCGGTGTGTGCGGAAGTGTCACTTGGGTCGCACGGTGAATGGTCGTTTGTCAACTGGTGTCGCAAGTAAAGCTGGAAATCCGAGTCGCCATGTCGAGGTGGATGCTGGCGCGTTTGCTTGCGCGGTCGTCTGTTTCGTCGCCAGTCGGCGTTTCGCGCTGTCCAAAATAAGTCGATGGCGCGCGGCTTGGTGAACACAATCGAGGTCGGGGCTTGATGATGCAAACGCGTCGAGGACCAATGCCAGGCTCATTGGCCCACAAGAATGTAGTCGAACTGTGTTTGTGTGCTTCGAGCCTGAATGAGCACGCGCACATGTCCTCCAGGCGTTTGCAGAACATAGTGTTTGCGATGATGAGCTTGTGCATGAACGCCCGTGATCGTAGCCAAGCGCCGCGTTGATTACACCCGCTCAAACGGGAGTTGACGATCGTTAATTTCTCCGCGCCGCATGCGTTTCAGTCGTCGTCGCTATTGTCGCTCCGCCTTCCCACTTGCGCGTTCAAATTACCCGTCAGTGCGAACGTTCGATGTAGGTTCGGTGCATCGGTGTGGATTGCTGAAATTAGATCGTACATGCCTTGGACGTGTTGGTCTCCATACCCACCATGTGAGAAGTACGCCGTGGCGATCCGCAGTTGGCACTGCGGTGAGACGATGTCGATGCGGGCGAGCCGCTCGTTCACAGCTGTGGAGCTCTTGATATGTTGGGCGCGACGTGAGTGCATCAGGAAAGCGATGCCTCGTGTCGGATGTTCACGTCCAGCAGCTGCGAACACATGTGAACCAAGTTTGGTGATCCACAGCTCTCGTGTCGTAGT